TTTCTTTTGTTTCTAAAGGCTTTTTAGGTACCTATTCAGGTCGTTCGCACGAGCGCCGCAAAGCGGCGCCGTGTGTGTGTGTGTGTGTGTCAAACCCTGTCCCTAAGGGCTTTCCATGTTTTCAAAGCAGGGGCGTACGGCTCGTCATACCCACCGTACGCAATGAAGCTACGGTATGACGAGGGAGGGGTGGACTGATCATCCACCTGTACCTGCTTCAACGGCTGAGTACGCTGTTCCAATCCTTCTTTTTTGATTCCATGGTGGTTCATGCTACGCCCCCCAAACCTTTTTTTTTCCCACCGCTGACTTGCCGCGCTTGTGTGTCAGATTGCAAACATTGTTCAACCATACAGTTCTCGCCGACCTTTTCGGCTTGCCGTTCCCTCACCATTTTCGACCTGGGAATTGAGCTAACTGAAAACCACTGTCAAAGTGTGTCCCACTCTGTACCTAAGGGTTCTTCACCACCGAACTTTTAAGTCCTGAGGAGTTCACATCTCTCACATGCAGGGGGGCCAGCACATGACATCCCGACGCTGGCCAACGAAGCTAGTGGTGTCATGGGATGTGGTCAGAGACGTCTGACTGTGTACCTGCTGTTTATGGTTTTATCAAGCTGTGACTCTCATCTTCCCGTAAAGCGCTAGCGCGTCCTTGTTCAAACATTCTGTTCAGCCGACAGGCCCAGCACTTCTTGCCGTTGGATCAGCCAAGGTCTGTTGCAGTAAGCTAAAGTGCTAATGCAGCCGTGAACAGTAACCGATTGAATGCTGGGCCAGTTGAGCTCTATTTCTAAGTCTGAATGAATGACGCCCCGCTTGAAGCCCATTCCAGTAGCAGATGTGACCAGATGTCTCTTGAGTTTCTGTTCAGCTTGGCGGAGTGGGATGTAGTCGGGTGGGCTCCACCCAGGTTCGCTTTCAAGGCGCTATTACAACCAGTTAGATTTCCACTTCCATCATGGTGATCAAACTCATGATGTTTGAGAGAACCCACTGACCAGGTATCGGCTTGCCTTCAAGGATCTGGATGACATCCCCCGCGAGGCAAGGCGCTTGGCACTTCTTCATTAAGCATTCTTGTGACACACCCTGCGAGCCATGCTGCGAGGCCACTGATGAAAGAATGCCAAATCAAACAGGTTAAAGAATAGAAGGGCACGCCATGGGGCCTGTACCGCTTTCTTATGCAAATCTGTACCGCTCTCGTTAAAAACCAATCACTGAAACGAGGCGATTGCGCCGCTGCCGGATGACCTTCGCTCGTTGGGCCTCAGAACTCTGAGATGGACCTGCGTCCGACCACGGCCAGAGCTTTCCACGCAGTAGAGATCTTGCTGACTGTGCCAAGCCCAACTTCATTTGAAGGCAAACTGCACGCCAATGTTGGAGTGGCAGTGCCCTGGAGTTTTGTTGTTTTTCCTTTCGGGCAAGATTAGAGATAATCAGCCTTTTTTTTGCTTTGCTCAGGGCCTTGGACAAGTTACAGCCTATGGACCCGTGGCAGGAGACCTCAGAAGCAAGACATAAAAGAAGAATGAGCGCTGCATCTTCACAAAAGAGGTCTGATTCAGTGCGATGTATTACACGATGCGTGCCAGGGCGCAACATTATGTAAAGCAAAGCGAGCAAGCAAGCAAGCAAGCAAGCAAGCAAGCAAGCAAGCACGCACGCACGCACGCACGCACGCACGCCCGCGCGCGCGCGCACGTATGCGCGCGCACGGGTACGCGCGTACGTACGTATGTATGCACGCAGGCACGCGCGTATGTATGTTTGTGCACGGCACAGGCGGCACGCGCCCGAACACACGCGCGCACGCACGCAGCGCAACACGTATTTTGTATGTATGTGTGTATGCAAGGATTGATGGATGGAAACCTGGTATGTAATGTAATGCAATGGTATGTATGTGTGTATGTGTGTGTGTATGTATGTATGTATGTATGTATTAATGTAATGTGATGTAAGGTAAGGTAATGTAATGTATGGATATATATACATATATTATGTATATATATGTATATGCCTATGTGTATGTGTATGTGTGTATGTATGTATGTATGTATGTATGTATGTATGTAACGAAAGCAAGCTAGTTGGTGATGCGAGTGACGCCAAACATGTTGAATGGTGCACTGCTAGGATCGCAAGGTGGCCAAGATACCCGGATACCATTGAAAAGTGGACAGCAGCCTGTCGCTCGTCGTGGCTACGCAATACGCAAGAGTTGGAGAATATGGCTGATGGGTTGGGGGCCGCCCGCATTCTGCCTCGTTAAATCTCATGCTTTTGTGCAAGCAGAGAGTCTCACTTCCAATTGCCTAGGGGGTGCCCTCTTTTCCGGTTTTGTGCACTTTCCATGCTAAATGAGGACGCCCCCAACATGCTGCGGTAACTTGCGATAGTCCAGGAGAAGGAGAACCCAGGTGAATGATCAATCGCTCAACCCACTCGTCCTACGCTTGACAATTTCTCTTGATTTTGCAGCCTCCAAGCTCAAACCAGTGAACATAGTACCACTGCCTGGTTTTGGGGACGTTGAAAGACTATATTGCGCTCTGTTAGAGTTAGAGGGGCACGTGGTCCAGTGGTGGTGCCCCTTTTGACAGTTTTGTCACGGTTATAGGGCAGACAAAACAGATATGATATATCTTCTAAACTCCAAATACCAGTAAAGAAAATACGTTGAAAGACTATGTTTGCGTGTTTATTTGAAAGGCATGTTTGGCCCAGTGCTGATTTTTTTGAGTGATCGTTTTGTCACGGTGTTTCGGACGACGCAAAGGGCACCAGGAAGGGAGTTCTATCTTCTGGGATCTAGCTAAGTCCCCCCAAGTAGCTGTAAAGAGAACACGTTGAAAGGCTATGTTTGCGGTCTGTTTGGGCATATGTGGTCCAGTGGTGGTGCCCCTTTTGATCGTTGTCCCCCCAAAAGCTGTAAAACAAATATGTTGAAAGACTATGCCTGCGGTCTGTTTGAAGGGCATGTGGGGTTCAGCAGTGGTGCCCCATTTGATCGTTTTGTCACGGCTTTGGGGAAGACAAAAAGGGCACCAGCAAAGGAGTGCCAGCTGCTATCTTCTGAGTTCTAGCTAGGTCCCCCCAAGCAGCTGTAAAGAAAACACGTTGAAAGACTATGTTTGTGGTCTGCTTGAAGGGCTGGCTTTCGTCCCTTCCCTTCTCAGGTATGATTTTGTGCCTGGATGTATGTATGTATGTATGTATGTATGTTGGTATGGTAAGGTACGGTACGGTACGGTATGGTATAGGAATGGTATGGTATGATACAGTATGGTATGGTAATGTAACTACGCATGCATGTAGGTAGGGTAGGTAGGTAGGTATGTGTATGTGTATGTGTATGTGTGTGTGCGGGGTGTGGTTTTGCCCGGCCGCCGGTTCACCATGATTGACTGAAGCCAGTCATTGCCACCAGGTCGGCGTCGATCATGGCGCAGTGGCTGGACCGCGCCAGTGAGCTGTTCATGTCAACCGGTGATGACACCACGCGTGCGAAACATGCCCCACCCACCGGTGAAGCAAAAGCACTGACACCCGCAGCTAATTCATTTCAAACATCATGGAACATGAGCCGCTTGAAACTGCTCTTCTTGAGATTGTTTGAGGGTAAGTGGCTGCCAGCTAGTTTACACCCTGCCACAAGCGCTTGAAGCTTGTCACGAAAGGTAGCTTGAGCTACCTGAGTTCTCCTTGCTTTAGCAAAACTGTATTACAATCAGGAGTTGGGATTGTGCATTGAGTTTGGTCCTGTAAGAGTTGAATCTGTTCGTCCGGCGGGGGCCCCCCCCCCTGGATCAAATCCCCCCTGCGCCGGTTCACGCCGTCATGGACTTCTACCAGGGTTACTTGTGATTGCCTGCTACCTTTCGTTCATCCCCTCCTCTCTCAAGTTTTTCGAGGTTGGAATTTTCGGGATTGATCACACTGAACTTCAAAAACGGCTTGGCGATGAAGGACCCAACCTGGCGATGCAAAGCATGGAATGAGATTGATGTCATGCCCAAGGACCGCCCATTGCCTTCCTACTTTGTGTTGAGCGTGTTGGTGCTACAATCAGGTTTCTAGGCATACAAACCAATTCCCAATTCCAATTTTCAATTTCCAATTATATAGTATGAAAGAAGTGAGCGAAGTATGCCCCAAGGACCCCAACAGTCTACAGCTTCAACCGTGGTGTTTCATCCTACTGTTACAGTTGGGACATGTTTGGGAGGAGATTTCAGACGAAAACATCAGAAGAGACAAGCCTTTGCCTTATTAGCTAACGCCTGCTACCGCCGGGCTTCGGCGCGCTCACGCATGTGGCTCACTGGGACCACACGACAGGCTTTTCAAGGGGCCAAGCATTTTTTTCTAGCATGCAACAGTCATCAACAATCTCAGGTTGCAGAAGCAAAGGCTTTATCAAAGAGCAACAACTTTGATCATGTGGCATGCTCACGTTGATCTTTAGTTGTTAGTTTTAGTTTTATCCCAGCTCGCGAGCTGAGATGTTCACTTCGTAGATTAAAGTTGATGAACACCTGAGGATCCTTTTTTTGGGACACTAAATGCAAAAACATTTTTGCGGGATGCGCCGCCTGGGCTGAGGCAGGAACGCTACCCCAATGGCGACCCCCTGGAGGTCGCACTTCGGAGATTTTCACAAAGCTGTCCACAACACATGCCAGCTAAAGGCTTAAGACAAGACTGAATAGGGAACACAAGAAGACGGACATCCGAGATACAGGTGTATTTTGTTTCTGTGTAGGACGGTGTTGGACTGTTTTGTGCGAGGTTCACGAGCGTCGAGTGGACCCTTTTGATGGAAAGCAGGGGTGCTGAGACCCGCAAGGGGCACCGGCAGGAAAAAGATCGAGTTTTCAGAATCCTTGAAACTTATATCATCAATACTATCAATAGTAATTCTAGGAATTATAGGGTGCTTATGCTTGTTTCACTTGAATACAGTAGTCCGATTCCCCTTGGATCTGATTCACCACTACAACTTGCGAACTTACATCACCAACCTGAGAGATTTGGAGATGTGGGACGGGAGTGCAGCACTCGCCCTGGCTGCAGCCCCATGGTATGGGGCCGTCAGATGTTTTGGATGTCTCGGCTGGCTGGTTGGACAATAATTCATGCAATAGGATGCTTTTGTTGGACCTGCTGGTGCTGGCCTATATCATGTGGCAATAATATAGAGTCCTTTTTAAAAAAGGATGGGATACAAGAGCTGCCCAGGTGGTACAGCTTGGCACAACTCCTTGCGCCATGGGCCCAGGAAGGCTTGCTTGTGAAGTGCTTCAGCCAGCTTGGCGCAGCGGTGACTACTGTAACCATTCTTACCACAGCATCGGACTGTGGGCTACGATATGATGTTGTTTTGAGGGTACTTTTGTTTGCTGGAATGGGGTCCTAGGAAGTACCAAGACGAGTACAGCACAAAGGACATCAAGTCGTATTGGAGGTGCGGTCAGCTGCAAGGAGCGTTACTGCTGCTAGTCAGGGCGACTGGAACTTTGTACCTCAACCTGGCCATGGCTATCCCCCCAAAACCATGAAGGTACTCAAAGACTCAAAGCCTATCCGAATCTATCGACTGAACTTGCACCTAATGATTCAAAACATGTTAACCTCATGTAGAACAGGAGGGGCCTTTCACTTGATGCAACGCTCACTATCCATCATGGATGACCACCTGCGACCAAGACTGAAGGAATGCCATGAGGCCCAACGAATACAAGGACTGGACGGGCAGAACGGTTTCTTTTTGAATGCACCGCGCACATGTCGTGATAGTCTTTTTCATCCAACTCACCGTGTGCCGTACCAAGAGAATTGTGTCGGATGGAGAGGGCCAAAGATAGGGGCTTGTTCGTATTTTGTGGCCATTAGCCGTCGACAGGTCAGACAGGCCCCACGTTGCATTCCTATTAGATCAGATTGGGTGTTGGATCCTGTGGTTGGTACTGTGGACACATTATCCAGAGACTACATCCTGAAGCGTTCGGTCCGCAATTCGTCCACTACTTGCAGGTGGTGGATTGAATGCCCACGGGAAAGATCTTGTTTGCGGCATTCCAACGCCATTGTCGCGAAAGAGTGTGGAGTTGTGTCAGTCATGTGTCAGATCATTGGCACTGTTTGGTAGAACTACTTGCTCGAGGGTGACTGGTGGACACTGACGAAATGACTTGCAGACATGGACGAAAGGACATTGTTTTGGTGGACTTTTTTCTACGTATTATCAGTTCAGCAGTTTGAAGTTCTGCGATCTTGAGTTCGCCGGTCTTGCTTCTTTGACTCCTTGTTCCTGTTCAGAGTTGAGGCCCTGCATGGTCCTGCTAGAGTGCAACAGCATAAGCATAAAAATACCAGAATGATTCAGAATGATTTCACACATGTTCCACTTCCATGATTACTCCAAAGAGTGCAATGTTGCACCCACCATAAGCCCCGCAATTGTCCTATTTGGCCGCAGAGAAGCTGCAGCTCAGCCCCCGTAGTACCAAAGCAGCTGCAGAGCCCCAGACGGGTCTTCCGCATGTGACAACCTGTTGCCGTGATGGCAATGGCAGCTCAGGCTCCACATCGGGGGCGTTGAAGATTTGAGCCTTTCAGGGATATGGGGCCACCATTTCAGTAGCAGCAGTCTGCAGCCGTAGCCGATGCAATCCTGTTCTCAAGACCACGACTTGCGCTGTGAGACATGATTGGTGAAGTTCTCTCCAAAATCCACGGATTATCATGGATTAGTATCTCTGATTGGCACGGATTGGTGTTTGGTTCAAGCAAGCGCTCCCCAACTTGGGAGACTTGGTGGAGACCGTGCGGGGTCCAAGCGGATTCCTGGACGGAGCTGGAAGCGTTGGAAGGTTGGAGTCCAGTCACTTTCCGGCTGACATCTAAGAGTGGAAAGCCCCATGATCACTAACCAAGCCAGCTAGGTTTTTGCTTCTGAGGTGCCAAGTGGCTGTATGGCGATGTTTCAAAGCTTGCTATGCTTCTCGGCACGGGCTTGTGGGGCACCCCACGGTCTTTTGCTCCATCAGTGCCTTAACCAGGATCTTGGAGACCTTATGTGCCAAATGGCTAAATGATGCTAAATGCGTTTTTGTTATCCCATTCTGACCTTTGGTGTTGAACATCAGTTCCAATTTAGGATTATGCTAGATGGAGTCCACAAGCTGTGAGCAAACGAAAAGTTCCCTTGCAAAATAACACTTGTCTATTAAGATCAAAAGGCTACCTGTATGAACTGAACGTGCCGGGTGAATTTTCTTGTTCTTATGCCAGTCTTTGCAGATTCACATCAACGTGCACTCTCAGGCAGCTACACAGATACAGGTGGTTCCGATTCTTCCTTGACCAGACTGCTAAGCAACTACAAGTGCCTTGCCTTGCAAACCTTGTCTCTAGATCTTTGGGCTCACATTTTGTACCCTGTGTGTGCTAGCCGCTAGCCAGTTCCAGCTTCAGGAAAGGATAGGAAAGGGAAGGGAGACAGCCACTTAGGGTTGGGAATTAACAGTTTCCTCCAGCATGAGCTGCGTTTCTTCCACGCATAAGCATTTGAGGAAGCTTATCCATGAGGAGGGCTACATCGACACGAAAACCGATGCAGGATTGGATTGGGAACGTGCACGAATGAAACCTCGATGGCGAATGGCGAAAGATATGTTTTCGATGCGTGTTGATGTGTATGTATTCGTTTGATTTTTCCCAGCCGACCTTTTTGCACACCGGAGTCTTGTTCTTCTTGTGTTTTGCTTGGGCTGATCTCACCCGAAGCCAGGCTTCAACGCCACGGCTGTTTTTCTCGAAAGCCTGGGGGCCGAGGATGTAAGTTGCAGTTCACGTGACTCACATGCCTATGGTGATATATATAGATGGCCAACCGGGCAGTGGCGGCATAGTAAGGAGAAAGTGTATTATATATTGGCGCAAGCTCGGATAAATAAGCAAAGCGGGATTTCAGGAGGGTTGAGCACCAAGGCTCAGATCATTCCCAGGGTGTTTTGGGCAGCTTTAGGCCAAGAGAGTCTGCGGATCAACGTATTTAGGGAAAGTTCCTTGAGTGCCGGATTGGGCTGTACAATGTTGGGGGTTATAGCTTATGCGGGGTACCAACGTGATCCTCTCCAATAGTTTGCCATCCGTGCAATTTAGTAGAAGATTGTCGATTTTGCTGGGACCTTTTGAAGTTGCCAAAGGGGGTGCTTAAAGGCGCCATGACGCTTGAAAGGAACCTTCTCGAACTCAAACGACCTTGATCAGAGTTCCAAATTGCAAATTCAAGAACTTCATAGTTGGTCCAACGAAAAACAAAAACGCCTGGTGAGGACGCTCCGTATCCAAATTGGATGTGAAACATCTGTTGGAGTTGAGACCTGGGCGATGACGCGACGGGGAGAAATTTGCACAGAAATGACGCACCATGTCAACGTCCATATTCAAGTCATAGCATGACACTTCGCATTTCAACATGTTGTTCCCAACGGAAGCCCTCGGCCACCGCTGATGAAACTTACTGTAGCATTCCAAGATGTGAGGTCTTTTTCCATCATTCCTAGGGATTTGAGCCACAAGGGTCCTTGCATGTCCTTGCGGCAAAAGGCATCCGAGTGCATCTTGCAAGCGGCATAGATAGAAAGCCCTGAGAGAACCTAATAGCCATGGCCTTCAACCCCAAAAAGCGATGGCTTACCCATGCCTACCCCACCTAGTTGCAATATGTTGCAATAACCTCTCACCTAATTGCCATGGTGGCATAGATCGAAAGCTTTAACCAAAGAACCTCCAGGATCCCACAGGTCACATCTCCGGGCCCATGACGAGCGCCAGACCGGACATCGGCGCCTTCGGCGCCCGCACCGCGACGGCGCTGGTGATGCATGAAACGGTGAGCCCGGCAAGGTGGTGCATCACCTATCGTGATTTGCAGATCTTTCGAGCTGAAATCCAGGAGCCAGAACCGGACCCTGACAACTTGTGCGTGTTGTTTGGAAGAAGGGGCAGGTTCAGTAGACTCATTGTCATCTAGACTCTAGACTCTAGACAAGTATCACACGAGGTTCATTTGTTTCAACATTGGCTCAACACTCATCTGCAGGAAGCGATCCAAGATGAGGCCTTCCCAGGTTATTTCTCCAAAGTCTTTGGGCCAAGCATCTATGTGGTGAACGAACACTACATCAAGCCCGTCACAGCAGCTGCTGGCAAAATGAGTTGGGCATTGATGATGCATCCTGATGGGCTTGACTCTGACCTGTTTATTACTCACGCTTGGCAGGAGGGCATTTTTGAATTTACAGAGAAGGTGCTGGCATCCTGGCCCATGCGTGCACGTCATGCTTGGTGTTGTATGCTTGCAAACCCTCAGAACTTGGATATTGGTGCCCTGATTCAGTCCCCATCAACGTCTCCTTTTGCCATTGCCCTCCGAAGCTCCAAGCACCTGCTGGTGGTGCCGAACCGGCACAAGAGCGTTTATACACGCTTATGATGTGGGTTTGAAGCCTACTTAGCGTTTGAGCTGAACAAGATCATTCGTACGGCACGGCCTCCAATTATGCGCCTGGTGATGTTTGCTTGGCTCAGGATGTGTCCGACTTTGCTGGTGGGCATTCTAGTTGGGGTCCTTTTCTACTTGAAGGACCTCCGGCGAGGCGTTGTGGCTCATTGGAGCCTCGTACTCCTGGTGTTTTTGGCCACTGTGATCAGCCAGAACTCAGGACAAAGGATGAGCTTGCTTGCAAACCATCTAGGTCTCCTGACCAGCATTGCATTGCTCATAGGATGGACGCCACGACCATTCAATGTCTTTGGAGAACTGGCCACCCAAGATATTGCCCGCACTTTTATGGCGCGGAGCTTTTATGCCGCATACTTTGTGCTGGCTGAAATCGACCGTTTGACTTTGTCTGCGGGGGTTCAAGAAGCAAAAGAACTTCAGGAGCAATATGAAGGATCAATTCATCATGCAAAATGTTCAGAACTCCAGGACGAAGTCAACATTAGAAGCGAAATCGGTGATCAGGTTGATGAGGTTGACAAGGTGATTCAAGTTTTGATCAAGACAGGTATGACATCGCCAGCACTTCGAGATGCATACCTGCAGGGTGTCAATATTGAACATGTTGCAGATGCTCAGCTGGCGATCCCAATTCTTTTGCTTGGACCTTCATTGCTACTTGGTTGTTGGAAATGGGGCAGGTTTACGTATGTTTGGAGGTACACTGACTTACCTTTGCCGCCGTGGGAGGTGGATGCGTTTTTGGGCTGGGACCTTTTCTTTGTCGACGCACTCTCAGTCCTTGCAAGAGTTTGCTTCCTGATTCTTCTTTGCAGACGCTCCATTGATGAAAGATGTTTCATGCTGAACGCGATGGCGAAGATGAACATCCCTTTTTTCTCCGTCATGGCCTCAAGCTTAGTTCTGGGTTGGAGCAAAGCAGCCACTTACACTTTGTTTCTCGTGTTCCACCTCTCCTTCCTTGCGGTGCTGTTTTTTGCAGCTCTGGGCATTCAGGGCACCTTGAACTTACCGGGTGGCCAATTCTTTGCGCAGGTGATTTTGTCGAGGTTCCTCAAGTGTGGCCACCTTCCGTCAGAGCGGATTTGGGATGAGGAGACCAGTTTCGCTTCCACCTCGTCAGATTCAGACTAGAAGTTGTTATGATTTGGATGCTGTTGAATGGCCAAGTTGTGGTGAAACAAGTGAGTCCAGTGAGCCTCCAGACTTCAACATCTGGAAATACCGACCCAGCTTAGTCAGACCAGCTTATCTCCTAATTACTGTGGCAACGGAGTTCTAAATTTCAATAGTCATTCGGATGTGCTCTATATCGTTTCTGAACTTATTTAAAGCTTCCGCCAGTTTGAGCAAGTGAGCTCTGAGAGGCTGACAGTAGCCTTATGGTGAAACCATGTGAAAGCGACAGATGCCATGCTCCTCAAGCTCATTTGTCATGGGAGAAGAAACGGAAGAAAGCGGCAGATGCTGGAATCCTGAGAGGCTTGTGACTTGCGCAGTCAGAAAAGATTCACAAGGACCCGGTTGAAGCGTCAGAGTTGATGTCAGCCCACCTGTGACCTGTGAGATTAAGCCAACCCAGGCCTTGAGGCTACAGCTCGTGCCTTGCGCTTGGAGCCAGCCAATCGATCGTTACTTGGAATAGACCAGGGGATGAGACCCTTGTGGTTCAAGGCTGTTGAAGCTTGAGTTGAACTTTCCGCTTTTTGAACAAGTTTGATGGGATTGCTTCTTGGCCCAGCAGCGATAGTCACTAGTCAAGCAGAAGGCCTTCCTGCTTGTATACTGTCCGTGCTTTGCACAGCAAGCTTGACGTGTCAACTTCAGCCACGACGTTCTGAGGAGTCTGAGCTTAATCACATCCCTGTGCCAAAGGCACTTTTGAACCTTGCTCAGGTATCGATCTGGCTTTACCATCAACTACCGGGCCCTCTTTCCCGACGAGTGCCTTTTCTGGACGGTCGGTCCAGGGCATTCAAGCAGCTGGGTCTATTCCACTTGGTCCACATTGTGGACCAAGTGGGCTAGACCCAGTTGCTGGAATGCTTGATTTTCATGTTTTTGCGGAGGGGAACACCGGTTCCCATGTTATTTTGAGCCCCAAATGTCGTCTACTTCCGTGTTGGTTGAGCCTGAGAGCCGCCCCTCCACTCGCCTGCCCTGACACCGGGTGGGTTCGTGTGGTACACGTAAAACGTGGAGCACTTTATACACCTGGGTTGCTTCGGTTCAGTCTTCTTTGTCTCCCTTTGGGTTTTGTTAGCTTGTTGATGTTTGTCGTGTGGTTGGTCTCTCTTCAGGACTTCCACAGATCAGATCACCATAGCCTCAAAAAGGTCAAACATATTTTGTCCAGAACTGTGCAGCAGGGGGAATCATTCAGCAATTAATCGAAGCAGAATCAGAATGAATCAGATGAATATCACAGTATAAGTATATAGTACGGTATCGTATTAATAGTAGCGGTATTCTGCAAGGTCTAGGTTTGGCTGAGGGATGTAGAGGGCAGGATAGCAGTGGGACGCCTCATCAAAGCCAGCCACTGAGGTCGAGAAATTATCGGGTGGACATTCTCGAAGCCAGCGTTGAGCAGAACGCGGTGATTTGGGTCGCCCGGACCGGACATGTGCAACCGGGTTGTGGAATCTAAGGACCTCTAAGGACTCCAACTGAATGAAAGACCGATCAAGCAAAGAATCATGGAACTGGCTCCAGAAAGCCAATGCTTGGCCCGGCCCACCGGGGTATGAGGCACCCAATGCTCATATCGGTGGCCCTAGGGACCCAGCCCTCTTGCGAAATGAGGTGAATGGCGACAAGTTTGAGTTCAGCCAGGAGGCAACAGATGGCAATAGGGAGTCGACTTCAGCCTTTCTTCATGCCTTTGCATGTGACATGCCACCCACCCTTGTTGGTAAGGAAGACCTCGCGGCCACGTTCCCACGGCTTTTGGACAGGCAATGCAATGCGCTGAGGACCTCCAAAGGGCTTGGTCGGAGCTTTGCCATTTGTTGGACCGCCCCATGGCACGACCAGGGGCGCCACATGGTGCCACACGGGTCCGGGGGGCACGCGTTTCTGAAGGCGCAAGTGGGTCTATCGGAGTCTACCAGGCTACCATTTACATCCATTTATCAAGCTGTGCTCCATCCCGGGGGCCATGTCGTTGCCCAAATGGGACGCCAGTAACCATTCCCCTGTTAAAACTGTTTACTCTTGATATTTCAGGCAGCTAGCTACATCTAGCTACCAAATATTCAGAAGACCCTTTTGCGTCACCGGGTCGCCAGCTGAGGTTGGAAGTCAGGTGATGCGGGCGACAAACCTCAGCGGACAGAAATGAGAACCTCCTTAGCATCCTGGCTGAAGCATACGATGGGTCTTGGGGTAGTTTCAACACTCATAGCGAACATAGCAGGATGGTAGGGCCAGCAGCAAGCTTGATTTAGAGCTTTGGCATTTCTTCGAGAATTGAAACCAGCAAATGATTGCGTATATACTGTATCGTGCACGGTGCCCCAAAAACAAGTCACGAGCTTCCTCGCAGGTGACCCTGGATGTTGCATGGGCGGCCTTTGAGAAGAAATACATCAGTGAGCTTATTGCGATCGAGGATCAGGAGCGCCTTCCGACGTCTTCGACTCCTCGCTTCGATGGCCTGAAAGCATCGCCTCCGAAAGCGCCGAATCGGCAAACGACGGCGGAATCGGCAAATACGATCTCCCAGTGATTCCCCTAGCCTACATGTAATTACCTGTCTCAGGCTCTCAATCTCCTAGACTTTGGGTGGACTTGATTCAGACCATCCAGAAACCCAGGGTTGGGATGGAAGCAGTGTGAGCCGGCGGATGTATCAGCCAATGTGAACCATCGACGTCTTCATCCTTAAGACTGTCACCAGCTTGGGACATGTCGCACGAAGCGTGCAAGCCTGCCAGGCAAGGAAGCTTATTGTGCAGGCTGTCGAGAGTGAAAAGCCTGGGTGCTCAAAGGGGGCTTCAGGGGAGCAGCATGGCACTGATAGACACTAACTGCTAGTGCGAGGGGGCAGACCGTAATATATATATATATATATTATATATATACACCGTAATCACCCTTCCATTGGCCTAGGAAACGGGGTCGTGCTATCAACCCTGCAGAAGTTGCCTCTCAAATCGAAGAAGGCGGTGGATGGAAATCACCGCCTCCCGATGTTGTAAAGACTGATTGGCCAAGGCGGCTCAGAGACATGGAAGGGAAGTACGGCGAGACCGAGGCCCAGACATGGAGAGAGACAGCAAGAGTGGGCAGGTGTATCAGAACTCATATGGCTGGGTCCTTGGATTTTTGACACCATCGTCATCGTCGTCGTCGTCGTCCTCCTCCTCCTCCTCCTCCTCCTCGTCATCATCATCATCATCATCATCCTCATCCTCATCATCATCGTCGTCATCCTCATCATCGTCATCGTCATCTTCATCCTCATCCTCATCGTCATCGTCATCATCATCATCTTCTTCATCATAATCATCATCATGTTCATCTACTATACTGTACTTGTACTATAGCTTCCAAATTTCGATCGTCATGCACTGGCAGGCTTTGCTGGCGCGACCTGAGTATCAAGCAGAGCAGAGGCCGGGCCCATCCTGCGTTTCAAGGCCCAAGAGCCGATTTATCTTTCCAAACCCACGGTTCGTTTAGTTTCGGAAGAAAAGCATGTCGTTATTCATTTTTCGATTCGATTTAAAGTCTTGGATTTGGGCTTGCAGATTATGCAAAGAATATAAAGAGGATTGGCAGGCTATGACTGCTGCGTTGCCTTGTTTGATTTTGACTTCTCGCAGAACCTGTGGCGTAGAAGACATGTCTCACAATGGCAGGAGGCTGGTCGGGTGCATTTCTTACCTCAACTCTGTGGCTGCCTGAGATGCGGAGCACGGAGGGATTGAACATCATTTTTGTTGAGAGAAATAGAGAAGCATTGACAGTGGCTCAAGAGATGCGCCCAGAAAGGAGAAGAATCTGGTGAGTTCAATTTTTTTATTTATCAGTGAGGTTTGGTGGGGAATGTCATTGAGCTGCACGAGTTTGCAGAAAGAAAGGTGAAGACTAGACACAACCCAGTTCGTAGACGAAAGGCCCACTACCCAAAAGGACAGTCTTTTCTTTTTGCATTGCATCCAGCACAAACTGCAACATGAACATAACCGAAGTGAAGATGTTCCAATGATCCTCAAGCTCATGATTTTATACATAGTATGATAGTAAGCAATGTAGAAGCCTCATTTGGATTAATTTGGACGAATTCTGAGTGGATGACTCGCGGCCATTTTCTACATAGAGAGAGAGGGAGAGAGCGAGGCCATGATTCATTCTCGAACCTGATGCTTTTCGCCACTGAGGTGGCGAACTTCCGACGGAAGGGCCGCGACGACCTGTCCGCCGAGGTCTTGTGGGGGCCTCGGAGGGCAGGTCTGCAGCTCACGCGCTTTCAAGGAAGCTACCGGCGCTCGCACTATTCATGTGGTTTCTAGATTCGCTGCTTGAAGTTGGCGAGACCATCATTTTCCTGCCGACACCTGCCCAGGTTTGATGCAGTCAGGACAATACAGCGCTGTGACCTCGCAGAGAAGAGACCTGGTGTTCAATCGCACACAGCGATGCACATGAAAGGGGCGACCGTGCCCTTCATTATGGCTTTCCCATGCTTTCCCACATGAACTTGCGAGGGTCAAACTGTGTCAAACCCAACCATCTCCTGGCCTGGCCAGGCATGACAAGGCCCGGTGCTAGCGGTTCAATGTTGGAGTCACCCCGCCTTTGGGTTCTTGGTTAGCGTCATGGCGACGTGTGAGTGCGCCAAAGGAACGGCCAGAGCACCGAGCTCTCTGCTGCTGCGCGCACTCTATGCGGTGACGTAGTGGAGCCGCTTGGACGATTTATTTTCGATAAGTTCCTCTAGAAGCCCTAGATTGTTGATATCACAGGAACCCCCCCTCCGCTTTGCTTTGGCTATCCCCAAGCTTTGGTCTGGATTCGGTCCTTGCTTCTTAGAAAGCACCATTCGAAGAGCAAGCATCAATCCCATCATGCTCAGTGGCTATCATGGCCGCACAACCCAAACCCTCCAAACATTTGCATTTGTCCTATATAAGCAATTGGCCATGTGAGTTACATGCCTCAAACCACAAGTACTTGGCCATGTGAGCACCAAGAGATCAATGTGTAGAGCAGCATGGAGATCTTCCAATTCTTCCAATCTTTTGGCACTTTGTGGTAGCCCTTCCAAAGGCAACGCATCCCTAGCCTGCAAAAGACGGTTCAACTGTCTAGCATGCCCTACTATCCTTTTTGGACATCTATTCTTGTTACTAGTAGCTTCTTGTTCCCAGCAGTAAAGCCAGGAGCTTCTAGTAGCTTCTTGTTCCTAGTAGTAGTGCCAGGAGCTTCTAGTAGATTCTTGCTCCTATGCCCTCCGCCTCTAAAAAGGTGCAAATCAAACCGGGCTCTATGTCCCAACCGAAGGAAGCTCGCCATTCGGAAGTTCCCGTGGCCAGGTCCTTCGTGGCCATGCGCCTTTACCTCCGTGAGATCGGCAAGTGCCACATGGCGAAAGACGTGATGCGACGAATGTGATGGAATTGGTTTGTTTGTTGTTTGGGAGACCACATGTGTGTTGTTTGTCGTTTTTTTGTTTGTTGTTTGTTGTTTGAGTTTGTTTTCAATTCTTGGGGGACCACATGTCAAAATCCCCTCCATTGGATGTTTGTTGTCGGATTTGTTCCATGTTTGTCTACTGTGATGGGGATCTTTCATGGCAAATCTTCACATCAAGAGTGCGGCAAACCTTTGTGAGACAACTGCATTGCGAGATGCAGGGACACTGCATGCACATGGCTTTCATGGACGGGCTGTCATGCTCCGGATCCCAAGACGACGCATTTTTTGCCGCACACATACCACATAGCCGTAGTTGCTCATGGCGCAACACCCCAAAGCTAGTCGGTGAGAAGGCAGGTATTTGGGATCTACCATTGACTAATTATATAACGATATATAGCGTAATTGCCAACCCTGATCGAGAACGTAAGGTAATTCCGTCCCGACTCGACCGCACGTGTCCCGACTCGAAGAGTTTTCATGTGTTTGGAAGTTCTCACCCCAAGGCCTCGAGCGGGTAGATCCGCATCTGTGCAACAATGCAGGCCTTGTGACCAGGCTAGTTGCACCTCGCCGCCTTTATTGATATGGGTATGCGGAATGGAGAAGAAATGAACATACAAAGCACCTCTGGGGCTCTAGGGACTCTAGGGTTTGTTTTTTGAGCTACACTCATCTTAAAAGCTCGAGTTTCCAACTGCCGCTGCCGATTGTCCGCATCAGCTGCACGTGGTTGTGAGTTGGGAGCACTTCCACAGAGGCTTCCAGACTCGGAGGACTTTGGTTGGGCAGCGGGTGAAGTCCTGACTGATCGGCAAAGTCCTTCGGGGGGCTTTGAAGGGAAGATGAGAACGGTACACAGTACATAGGATTTTCATAGCAGACATAGAGTTAGAGTACGTATGTAACATTCAACTGTTTTGTCGCGCCTACTGTGCCAGTGTGTTTGAGGCATATGACCGTGCAACACTTGATTTCCACAAAGTTTGGCTGGTGGCTGGTGTGAAAAAAGGTTCCTGGCTTGAAGGCCTGCAGTATGATGTTTAGGCCGATTTGTACACGGTCAAAGAACATCTCGAAGATACATGTCCAAACAGTGTATGGGTATGAGATCGTGATCGTATTAAGATCGTGTACACTAAAGACTTCCTACCGCCTAGGCCAATGTGTTCGTTTTCTCCGCCCGCCGTTTTCCGCCGGAATTAACCCGGTGACGAGATCACGACTTTGGGTGCAGCCACATATCTCAGCTACGTTGCGGTTCGTCCAACCAAGGATTGGGAAGAGAGCTGGGAGGTCGGGGCTCGATATGTTCAGAACGAGTTGCTGCTGAAACCTGGCAGGCTAACTCTGCTTCGGAACGGAGTCGGGGAGAGAGTGAGGGAGAGGGAGAGGGAGAGGGAGAGGGAGAGGGA